CCATATCAGTAGATAAAGAAATACGATGAAAACAAATACAATTGGAAATATAGAATAAAATATTTACAACATATAGGGCTAATAATATTTATTTAATATAATACATATAAATACGTAATATGAAAAATGTGTACATACATCAAGGACTAGAATACAAACAAGAAAACATTACAAACAACTATATGCATGGTTTCAGCTCTATGAGGAAAGGGCACTCGAATTGTCCTTGTTGTTGGTGCCCCCTTGGGCTACCAAACCCTCAATCCTAACTCATTATAGGCGTAAACGGATCGATTTCAATTCGAGGGAATTCACTTCCTTATACCAACACGAGGAATAAATCCCTACGAAGGTATAAGGCATGTGTATCACACAGATTATTTGCTAAAACTCATACGAAGAATAAATTCTTACGAGAGTAAAGCATTCACCTTTACTTACTTGGAAATGAAGCTCGAGTCTAGAGTTTATATCATGCAAATGCACGTGATGTGTATGAGGAGGAACATACAAACCTTTGACTAAAAAACAAACGAAAAAGTCTTGGCAGAAACTTTAACACAGCTGAAAACATGAATTAAAGCATTAGTATGGCAATTTAAAAAAGAATTTAGAGAAACTTCAATAAATGGATTATAAGATAATTATAGACTCGAACTTATAATTTCCACCACTACGACAATAAGTAAGCGACTTATATCCTGACTCTCTAAAAAAATCTACATCAGAGTGGCCAAGTTGTCATAACTATTTTTTTTAAAAACAATTAAGTTTTAAAAAAAACAATTATGACTTTATTTGAAAAATTAGCGATTTTGTATTAATTTGAATTAAATTGAATAGAAGTAGTCATCGACCTTTGAGCTAGGTAGGTCGAATAACTAAAAATGTCTTTTAAAACAATTTTAAGAAAAATCATTCTTTAAGACAAAAATTGGTATGCGTTTACCAAAAATTCGATTTAACGGGTCAGGGAGTCGATTACGCGTGAGGAATGATTAGCACTCCCACAGTGCCCAAAATTGGTACTTAGTCGCTTATATATTGTCATGATAGTGGAAATTATAAATCGAATATAAAGTTAGAATATGATCCATTTATTAAAGTTTAATTAATTTATTCCGAATTAATTATTTAAAGAAAATTCTTTGAATTGATAAGAAATCTCGAGATTTTCAATCCAACTATTTCTCTATTTAAAACATTGAATTATTATCAATGTTATTAAACCGAACCGGTGGTTCGACCGGTTGAACCGTGAACCGGTGGCCTGTCCGGTCAAGTTAACTTTCAAAACCGGATGAGCACAGAACTAGTAAAGAACCGATAGTACTGGTAAAGAACAGCGGTTGAACCCGATTGAACCAGTGAACCAGATAACCAATACCTTCACCCGTTCAAGGTCCGGTCCGATTTTAAAAGCATTGATTATTATCAAAATTTTGCATGAAATAAATTATGATTCATTTTTTCGAAAACATAAATTATTAATACTAACATTAAATATAACAAAAAGTAAAGACAAAAAAAAAAATAAGGCATTATGAAAAATAAAAAACATTATTTTAATAAATACATAAAAAAGCTTACGTTTTCAAGTTCATACTTCGTTCGAATGTCGTATCGTATTACACTACTTCGATTAAGTAGTGCTTTCCACGCCCATTCTACAAATAAATGTTCTTGAAAATATTCGAGTACCATATTAGTCGATAAAGAAATACGATGAAAACAAATACAATTGGAAATATATAATAAAATATTTATAACACATAGGGCTAATAATATTTACTTAATATAATACATATAAATACATAATATGCAAAATGTGTACATACATAAAGGACTAGAATACAAACAAGAAAACATTACAGTTCAAAATACAAACAACAAAAATAAGCACATTCAATGATTTAAGGGATCAAAATGGTATTAACAGAAACTTGAAGGACCTAACAACAATTATGAATAAACCAGAGCAACAACAACAACAAAAACAACAACAAAACCCAATTCCCATATGCAATGGGGTAAGGGGGAGGTAGAGTAGTAGGCTGCCCCCAACGCCAGGTTGAGAGTAGCTTCCGTGGAAGACCTCTGGCAGTCAGAAAATTAAAAATATAGATAAAATGCAATGCATGTATAAATAAATACATAAATACATAGTTGTACAGTATTCATATACAATCATTAATATCATTAATATCATATGCGCGTCTGTAATGGGCAGTAATCTTTGTATATAGACAGAAACATAAGAACCGACTAAATTTAAAAGTGGAGAGAAAGATACACAGAAGTCAAACGATAGCAAGGCCAGTTCTAAGCCTTCATAAATACCAATAACAGAAACGGATAAAAAGTAGAAGTTATGTAAATTACTACAAAGACATTAAAAGAAGACAGAGATGATACACCCTAGAGATGTGACCCACACTACTCGACTATCCTAGTCTTAAGTCTCCATACTTTCCTATCAGAGGTCATGTCCTCGGTAAGGGCTAAATCCATCATATCAGATCTCAAGCAGTCTTCTCACTTCCGCCTTGGTCGTCCTCTCCTTCTGGCACCGTCGACTGTAATCGACTCTACCCTCCTGACCACATCAGATGGTAGTCGCCTAAGGACATGCCCAAACCACCGTAGTCTTCCTTCCCTCAATTTCTCGGAAACAGGCACCACCCCCAAGGACATCCTAATAGCAGAGTTTGTTGTCATATCCCACAGAGTCCTACCGCATGTCCACCGAAGCATTCTCATTTCTGAGGCCTCTATCCTCCTTACATGATCCTTCTTGGTTGCCCAACATTCAGATCCATACAATAGTGCTGGTCTTATTGCCATTCTATAAAATAACCCATAAATATAGGTACCAGAAACGAAAATAACCCATAAATAATGTTAAGAACTAAAATAAACTAAACCAGAAACATGAAAGGGAAATAACAATTAAACCATAATGCTTTCATACTAAATAGTGACTAAAACAAAAGAATCATAAACCTTAGGACCAGATTAAAAAATAAGCAGACATATTAAAATATATGAACTGGTGACTTAAATGTAAATATTGAAAGATAAGTGCTCGAAACATAATAACATAAAGTTTCATTCCATGGTCAAATGGTGAGATTACAAAGACAAAAGGACCAAATCTGCTAATATCCCATAAACCCAGGCGTTCAATCCCCTCTCTTTGCCAAAACGACGTAGTTTCGTGTGTGATATATAAGCACGATTAAAGGGCCTTTTCCTCTTCATCTCCTCATTTCATTTGGTTTCTTAAGCAGATGGAAGAGAGAGAATTCTAAAATTCTCTCAACTTCTTTATCGGGAGGAGAAACCGCCACTCGTCGCGGTGTTCACGGCCGTTCACGGCGGCCAGGGGAAACAAACCCCCCCCCCCCCCCCGAAATATTCCTCTTGCTCTCAATAACCCATATCCTAGCCCCTTTAGCCTAAAAATTAACTACGATCCTAGATCTAAGTTTTACCTTTCGAAAACTTAGTCTGGTGACCTTCTTCCGACGAACGTTGTGCCTGGTAAGCTCTATTCTCTCTTTGTTATTTTTGTTCGGATCTTCTTCTTTTTTTTTCTTTTGGTTCGGACTTTTTTCGTTTTTATAATGTTCTCTCTTTTTTTGTCCCCCCGAATCTGCTTTCCCCCTTCTTTTTATCTTCTCCCTCGTTGATTTTTGGTGATGGCTTGATGTTTTCCAAGAGAATAAGGTATGAGGGCCCTATCTTTGCTTGTGACAGAGTCCCCGATTTCCTCGGGATTTATTATTTTTTATTATTTCTATTGTTTTGATTTGGCCTCTCTTTTTGACTGTTGATGTTGATTTTCGTTCACTGTAGAATGATGGCGGTGTCAGAGGCGACAACAACTCCCTAGGGTTAGAGTTTTAGAAACCCTAAATGTAACTGATCTAGACCATTGATAGTCATCAGATCCAATAGTGAAGAGCTGGAGGCGACTGGAACTTGATATGGAAACCCTAATTGGGTTTGGGGTCTCATATGCGGGTTGGATCTTTGGGCTGGGTTGGTCTGTTGTATTTGGATCAGGGTTTGGGCCTCCTAATTAAATCTTGACCCAATTGTCATTTGGACCTATAAAATGTAGTAATAATACTATTAATAAAATAATAATAATAATAATAATAATAATTAAAACCCGGACAAAAACAAACGAGTATCTACAACAATCACACAAGATTCGCTTTTATGTCGACAAGACTAAGGCCCAAGTAGTGATGAAGGAACTTTCAAACTGTTTGGAAAAGCGAGGGGTAAGGTTTAACTTACTATCGAGGATGCTATGCATCCAACCATATGCACTTTTCCCAAGTAAACATGATTCGAAAGATGTACATAAGGCCACATCACATTGGTATTCATTTCTTCTTCATCTTGCTTGCTTAATTGTTCATGTTCATTGAAAGTTATCGCTATCAATAACTTGTGTCTTATTTTGTGCCAGTTGGATGTTAAAATCATTTATAGTGACGGAATGGATTTGGATATATTACCAAAAGGTGCCGGTAAAGGACAGGCCCTGGCATATTTACTAAAGAAGTTTAAAACGGAGGGAATACCACCTATTAATACTCTTGTCTGTGGTGATTCTGGAAATGTGCTTGAGCATGCCGATCAGTTTTTGGATTAGCTTGTGGTTAGTCCAATATTTACCTAACTCCTGTGAATTTGGTTTTCTTGACCTAACATTTTACTAAGAAAATATGGTTTCCCTTTCTAATTTTGAGTTTTTGAATCTTACTAAATACTAATTAGTAGGACACATAAACTCTGTTATTTTTTTCTCAGGATCCATCTGCTGTTGTTGTCTTTCCATCTGGTGCAGGGTTTTAAAAAACGGTCTGCGACCGTGATATAGCGGTTTCGCCGCCGTCCGAGTTACCCGCGACGGCCGCAATCACAGTAAATCCGAAATAACCTAAAACGCCACCGCAACCGTGATTTGAAACTCTAATTCTGGTGTTGAGAAAACTCTTCATGAATGCATACACACAATGAAAGGGTGCTACGTAGACCAAAAGGGTAAACATTTCTGAGTCTGGGTGGATCGTGTATTATCCACACCAATTGGCTCAAGCACGTGGTTAGTGAAGTTTGATAAGTGGGAATTGTCTGGTGAGAATTATTTCTTTATAAAATTGCCTTGTCATTTTCTTTGCTTTGCAGATGCATTTTCTGGCAAGCAAGCTCATAAGTTCATGTCCAATTGAAAACACCAGTATTAAGTACATGTGCACTATGCCTCTGCCTTAAACACTGGGAGAGCTTCTAATAGGCACCGAGTTTTATCTAACGTTCTTGCGATTGCCAATGATTTCTCACTTTTCATTGACTTGCTAATTCTTGTAGGAAATGAGCGCTGTTGTTGTGTGACCACTGCTAAAATAAATGCAAAGGTTGGAATTGTTAAAATCCTAGATTATGTTTGATTGAAACTTTTGCTACTCCCTTTTTGTTTTCTATTCATTTTTTAAAAAACTAAGTAAATATTTAATTAGCAAAAGCATCAAACAAATGGAGCTTTAAATATTTTAATTTATCTGTGAATGTTTTAACGTAATTTTATTATAAGATTGTTACCTTAATGTTGGCAGGGATCCGGTGCTTCAGACGGGTACACTTGGATGAATGTGCAGCAAAAGTGGTTAGAAGGGTATGAAAAAAAGGATGATTCAACCTGGCTTTTCTAAGGTACACTGCAACACCATTCTGAATCTGGAATCATTATCAAAGAATAAATGTATCCAAAATTTATTATTCTTTTTACATACATTTGTATAATTAATACGCAACTTAGGACATGGTACTATATTTAGATACACTGAGAAACATACCTTGGCTTATCTCTTTCTTGATACTTATTTTATTTATTTTTATCTTATTTTCTATGCTCATGCAGTTTATACTGTATCTATGTCTATGAGTGAGAAATTTGCATTGTGCTTGGATTTCAAACTCTTACTGCAACTAAAATTGCTTATTTTTATTCGATCTTCCTTTGTATATTTCATTCAGCCAGGCAATAAATTGTTAGCTTTTGGCTTAATTTCTAAATTTTCTACATATCTTAGGTAAATGAATCGAGTTTGAATAAACATATATAGATCTATTTTATCTGGTTATTTTTTTTTTAACTTTTCTTGTTCGTTAAAATTTTCAAATTTATATTCTTGTTTGTTATTAAGTTATGTATGGTGGTGTTGTGTCTAATGTTATGAAAACATATAATTAAACAAGTTATGAACGGTTAAAATTTGTTTTTGAATAATAAACAAACAATTCATAAGTCAACATATATATTTTTTAGATATAAAAAATAAAAAATTAACATTAATAATTATATTATAAATAATAAAATAGATATAAATATTTTTAAATATCTTTTATAATAAAATATATATTTTAATAAATCAACTAACAAATGAATTTATAAACGAATTAGTAAAAGAGGCTATTTGTGAATATAAATATATTTATTTAATTTAATAAACAAGTAATTTACTAGATGTTAGTTCAATATTGTATTTGTGTTTGTCCTAATCTTATGTTGTAAATAAATAAGAGTACTTTTCTGAAGAAATTAAAACTTGAAAGCTTAAAATTCATGAATAACATAATATATGATTTTTGGGGGATCTAATTTATGAATACAGGATTAATTCTATAAGGAACGCTGGAAAACCTTAATTAAGACATGTATAGCAATATATTCATTTAAAAGACTATCATAATTTACTTAAACAACTCTTACGTTTAAGAAATCAGAGTTTATTAAGAGGTTAATGGTTAAAGGGACTATTTTTTTAAAGTTTTAAGTTCGCGTAATAAATCTGCAGAATGTGTGTTGTTATGACTAAGAAAGATTACGATAGATATTATTTGTAATCATCTAAGATTATTTAAAAAAAAAGAAGAGAAAAGAAAGAAAACAAGAGTGGACAAACTATATTTATCAAGCGATCTCAATGATAAAAGATATTGTTGTTTTTTTAAAAATCGGGTTTAAATAATTGCAGCCGTAATATATGTGTTATCAATAATTAAAAAAATTTATGAATAGACAATATTTTATAATCACACTATATTGTTCAATTAAAAAACAATTGTAAAATAATAGAATTATGGCGCGAGTAGAAGGAAGTTATAACTCTAGAGCACTATTCTCTCTTTCGCGAACATCAACGCCGCTGCGTTTGGCCAGGTTGCGCATCTCTCTATGCCCGACCGCACTCCTCTTTCCCTTTTGCACATCCTTATCCCATTACCTGCGGTTCCACACCTTGAATCGAAGTGCCGTCCACCTTCAGAACTCAACGGCTTTCACAAATCTCTATCAACTCATGGCTCCGTTTTCGGTAAGAATCGACCATCAACGCCTTCATTGCTCTCTTCCCAAACCAAAACGGCGTGCCATAACTCTCCCTTTGGCCTATTCTCACCGTTCACCATCCTCCAATCTACCCCACCATCGACGAACTGTTGAACCGTACATGCCTAACCTTTTATCCCCTCCATCTTCTAATAACTGTTAAAAAACTGTTTATCAACTTTACCCAATTACATGTAAAAAAAAACCAACCCGATTTCCCTTATTCAACATTAATGGATTCTTTATTATTATTTTAACCAAAATTTAAACAGGGTAAATTGTCTTGATCATCCTCCTATTTTTATGTTTTTATTTTGACAATCAAATTATTTTTTAAAATCATAGTTATGTTTTTTGTTTTGAACACATGTTCTTAGGTTTGATCTTAACTTAACAGAAATAATAGTGTGACTTGATATAATAATAGTTTCGACACTTGATTTTTGTCCGTTAATTTTATATATTATTATTAATCATATTATATATTATTAATTATTATTTTTGTAGGCTTTATAACAAACCCGAAAATAGGCCCAATTACAACTCATGGCCCAACAGCCTAAAAAGGGGAAATGGATCGAACAAAAGAAAAAGGGGGCTCTCGGTTCCCAAAAGCAATAAGGGGACAAGATCGATTTTTTTTTTGGAAAGGGGGGATTCGAACAAAAGAATGTAAAGGGGTAGAGAGATATTTGGAGGGGATGAAAATCATGTAAAAGGGGAGTGTTCCCCAATTTTTCGAATGAAAAAGATAACTATGTTTGAATTTTTTTTCTTTCAAGCCCTTTTTACTGGTTTTGTTTTATATGTGCATGCAAAGTCCAAAATCGATCGAAACAATATAGAGTAAAAAAAGAAAAAAAAAGTAAGAAAAGGAGGGAGTATACCTTCGGTTGGAGCATCATCAACGTTCGGGGCTGTTTTCACTGATCCTAATGGTGAGAAGCTGTGCAAGGACGAGGAGAATGACATATCTTGACCACGACCTGATCCAACGGCGAACGGAGGCAGATTGGAGAGAGGAAAGCTGAACAGTTTCGGCTAGATTCGTGGATATTGGAGTCGGCTATCGTGAAACCGACCCTAGATCGGAGACGGGTAGGCCGAGACGGACCTCCTGGTGTAATTTGGTGGTCATCGGCCATCGACGGCGGCGGTCGAGGTTAGTAAGTCACCGACGTTGCCGATTTTTTAGAGAGAAGCTAGGGTTTCTCTTTAAAATAAAAAAAGAGCTAAAAATGAAAATAAATAAAAAGAAAAAAGGTTGATATTTATAGAAAACTTTAGGGTAAATTGCACTTAGGTCCCCCTAAGTTTGGCATGTTTTTGTAAAAAGATCATCTGTAGGGGCCATTTTTTTAATTTACCCATTTCTAATGCATTTTATATATTTTTGGTTTAACTATTGTTTGGTCCTTGTACTTTTTGTCTTGTTTTACGTTTTGGTCATGTGTAGTGACTTTTTAATTTTTTTAAATGCTCAGGGATTGATTTAGTGATTTTACCTTTTTATTTTTCAGCACTAACTTTTTGGTTTATTTTCTTACAGGCCCTTCTACTTTATGCGTGTTTTATATTTCAGTCACTAGTCCACTATTTATTTTATTTTTTGACTTGGTGCTATAATCTGTGATTGTTAATTTAGTCATTTTTATTATTTTAGCTTATTCGAATTTTTCATTGATTTTATTTTTATTCATTTTAGTCATTGTTTGTATTCTATTTATTATTTAATTATAATTTAGATACAATATTTCAATTTATGCATTTTAGTCATTGTTGGTTTATGATTTGATATTGTATTTTTTATTTCATTTTAGTCTCATTTCACTTGTTGTCTTATTTTTTTAGAAATATTTCAATTTGAGTGTCTTACTTTACTAATTTCCATTTTGTCTTGAATGATTAAAGTTGGTGTATTTACAATTGTTGAAATATTTGCAAGGTTGCCTTTATTTTTTTTGTTGGTTGTATATTTTAATCCCTAAAGTTAACATTTATATTATTTGGTCCATCATTTTTATATTTGTTAATTACTCGCTAATTGTATATTTTCAAATATTATTTAACTCGAGGAATTTATAGAAACACGTCTTAACTAACAAGGAATGTGTTTCTAAGAATTGTTCGAACAAAATAATATATTTTATTTTTGAATGAATTTTGTTTTAATTATTAATACATGTATTTTATCTAAAAACTTGGGCAATATTATTTATATGGAGAATTCATGGAAGTGCCCCATTTAACTGATAAGGAATGTATTTCGATAATTGCTCGCGCAAAATAATACCCCATGATAGTATTACAAGAATCACGTGGTCATATATAAACATGAACATGCATCCATAGTTATACATATTTCAATCTAATTGGTATGAAATTGTGTTTGAATTGCTATGCTTTGTCTGCGACTAATTTTGATCTAATCGGCTATACTTAGTAGTCATTCTTACGATTAATATGACATCTTATATTCGAACAAGCCTCCTAGACAAAAATGGAATGTTACAATAGTAAGAACAATTTGGTAACATTTTATATAATTGAAATTTTGTGTAATTACACAAACATATAAAAGTTGTAATATTTTGTAATTAGGTAGTTTTTATATGATTGGGTAATTGAACAAAAGCATTACAAAGTTGTAATGATTTTGTAATTTGATAATGTTTTATAAGATTTTCGTAACTATTTTATGTTCTTTACTGGAACTCCCCAAACTTATATCTATATATACTTGAACGTTCATTTATTAAAAGTTATATATAAAATTAATTATTAAAAAATATAAATGTATGAATTGATAATGGAATGTATATCTACATTTAGACTAGAATAACTCTGAATAAGATCATTTATAATGAAACTTTATTTAGATTAAAAATTTACACATAAATCATGATTAGGTTTAAACTTAGGTGTTTAAGAATCAACACCTAAGCCCCTGCCAACCATCCGAAGACCCTATTGAATATTGACAATAATCATAATTTTATCTAGAATGTTTGTGTTCAAACAGTTTTTATTATTAACCGAGACAAGTACAAAGTAATATATGTTCAAAGATAAATTTCAACCATTTGACATTATGGTGTTCAAACCCGAGACTTCAAAGAAGAATAACAATTCATTACTGAAGTCGCTTGATTTGTACTTGTTAGAACAATTCTTAAGTTTGGAGAAAAGGGATGATACTCAACTTAAGTGAAAATCTAAAAAATTTTAAGAGTCGCTATCGACCTTTGGATTAAGTAGATTGAATAACTAAATTTCATCATTTTAAATTTTTAAGGAAAAATTTTAAAAGACAAAATAGATCTGTGTGTAACTAGAAATTCATTTGAAAATGATCTAGGAGTCGATTATG